GGGGTTGTGGGGGGGTGTCGTTGCACCCCGGGACCGGGACTGGGGGTGCCGGAAAGCAGCCCCAGTTGCACACACCTCACCCGCGCCGTCCCCAGTCTCCGATTGTTACAGAGGATTTTTTTTTTTTTTCCTCCCCCGCTTTTTTGTGAACATGGGAATGTGTGACAGCAAAGCGGAAAATGATCTCCTCGGGGTATCCGCCAGTCACCTGCCGTCAGACGCCGTTTAACCAGATAACTTGTCTGTTTCCAACCATCCTGCGTCCTCTGAACAGCGCGGCTTTCTCTTTCTCCTGCCTCTCTCCCCGCTACCTGTATTAAAACCGTCGTCAGAACGAAGAATGTAATTATTTGCTCCCCCAGCCCGCCCTGTTTCTAATCCTCCCCCTGGACATTAATGTCCTGGAAGGTATTTTTCGGTACGGAGGAAGTATTTCCCGATGTACGGTAGAATCAGATCCGTTTGTTTTTATTTCTGCCAGAACTGATCATTTCGGTGGGACAGTTGCAAAGTTCTGTTCCGTGCAAATAACTCGCCGAGAAACTGCCCCTGTTGCGGCTGCCTGTGCTCACCCGGGAAAATTCCTCCTCCTGATACCGTGCTCATGAACTTTCATCTCCCACATGAGCACGTGTTACATTCTTCTGTGTCAGTATTAGTTTTCAAGGCTTGCAAACAGTTAATATAACGCTATATTGAGTCTTCCGTTGATTTCCGAGCCAGCTTCTTAATGCAGCACAGCAGTCTCTGTGTTAATTTGGGCACAGTGACTAGTGTCCTACAAAGCACCTTAGACCTTTGAAGATAGGGAAGAAAGTCAGGAGTGAAAGTAATTTAAAAAAGCAAGCAAGCAGTAAGACAAACCAACCAAACAAAGCCCAACCAACCACAAAAAACCCAAACCCAAAACCCAAAACCAAACCCCACCACGAAAACGTCTGTAAGTTTTACATGACCTTAGCTTTACGTGGCTTTATGCTAGTTCTGGTATCAGTCCATTCTAATAATAGAAATAGGAAAATAGCAGATGTTTTGGGGATCCAAGAAAATCTATGCTGCAGAAAGAGCTGTCCTAAAAATCGAAGTGCAAGCTGTTTTAACAGAGAGTCAGCGGAGGGAATATCAAGGAAGCAAATTTGGTTCCAAAGTATTAGAACAAGTTTTCCAGACGAGTTATTAACTTGAAGGGAACAGCTTCTCTCTCTCACCCGCTTTACTTTTATTTGGCCCCTTTACAATATTTGACTCACGATCTTTAATGTATAAATAGGCAAGGAAAAATTCGGGTATACATTGATCCAAATTCGTAGCAGCTTTTTTTATTGATGTAGATTTTACCGTGAATGCATGCACGGTTCTCCAACTGTACTGTGTTTCATGTGTATCTGTATTTGCACTGCATCTCTGTAGATCTGGGTATGTATCTGTCTCTGCGTGTATATTATTTGATAAGTACTCCCCATTGTTTATATCAGTAAGAAAACAGTTTCCCTAGTTTCCTCAGGGGCGGCAAAGGGAATACTTGAATGCAGGCAATTTGAAATAGAAGGTGTGGGGGGAAAAATCCGCAACAAAACACAACACCCGGATAAAAAATGTCATAAAAACTGTCTGAGGACGAGATTTCTTTCTTCAAGCCTAGAACATCCTGATGTGAAGCTTACGAGTGGTGCAAAAAATACCTTTGGCTAAGAGCAGGGGGTTGTATATTCTGAACACAAAATTAATATTTTTGTACTTGAAAATATAGGTATGTGGGATTAGTACATGCGTGCAATTTTCCTACAATTCGGTGTCCGCATAAGGACATTTATAATGCATCTTCCCAAATCTTCGTTTATTTAACTATTGCCGCTTTGTGCCTTTTTTAAAGCAACGAAAAACCCGATCTTGGCCATTCCCACGAAGAGGTGGGGAGAGCCTCCGCAGCGCGCTTTCCTCCTGGCCCTCCCCGCGCGGTGAGCCCGGTGGGGAAGTGATGTTCAGAAGAAAAAAAAAAAGCAAAGCCCCTGGTGTGGGGCACCCGGGCCGTGGTGACACCGCCGCTGCCCGGGACTGGGGCACACCGAGAGACACCGCCCGGCACCCACAAGGGCTCTCAAAAAGGCAGATAATAACAGTAACAGTAGTAGTAGTAATAATAATAATAATAATAATAATAATAATAATAATAATAGCATCCAAACTCAGTGTTTACCAAGGGGAGGACAGCTGTGTTAAAAGCAGCGTTTGATTTAAGTCGCCGAAATCTCGTTTTACGGGTCCGACCCCATGAGCCGAGCGGTCTGATGAGACACACCGCTATGATCTGTGCTGTACGAGGAGGCTGTCCCCGTGCAAGGCTAAGGGTCGGGATCCCTGCAGGCTGCTCATCATGATAAAGATGCAAACTTCAGC